GGTACCGGGCGCTGCTCGCGCAGGCCGAGCAGGAGAGCACCCAGCTCAAGGCCCGCATCGTCGCCCAGTGCCCGCGGGGCACCCGAAAAGAAAGGCTTTTCCAGCCACCCGCCACCACGCACCGTAGATCGGTGCTGACACGACACGTCACCACCGCGCGCAGGCAAGAATCGTACATGGGTACGCACCCAAGTTCAAGTACGAGCTGGAGAGCAGCGTGGGGGACACTCTCACCGTCGAGATGAACGAGAACTGCGACGAGAAGCCGTGGTACCTCGGTAAGTGCGACGACACGACACGCACACGACACGCACACGCACGCGTGTGCGAAGTTCTCATCGCGTGGTGCGGGGCGGGGGCAGCCAAGCGGCAGGGGCAGGTGGGCCTGGTGCAGGGCGTGTATGTGGAGGTGGCTGACGCGGCAGGCGACCCGCTATTCACGCCGCGCGGCCAACCCGACGCAAAGCCCGTGGGCGCGGCTTCGTCACCGGCCGCCGGCGGAGGTCGCGCGCGAGTGGCCTTCGAGTACCAGGCGCAGCGTGACGACGAACTGGACCTGGTCTTCGATGAGGTCATCATCGTTCATCAGAGGTATCACGTCTCTCTGCGCCTGTTTTCCATCATGGCCTCACTGACACGCACCGCACACTCCGCACGCACACATCGCACACTCGAACGCACAGGTCGGATTCGGGTTGGTGGGAAGGCGAGCTCGTTTCAACAAAGCGACGGGGTCACTTCCCAGCCAACTACGTCGTCGACATGGCCTAAGCCCCTCTCTCTTCTCTTCATGTGTACCAAAAAATTTCTTCAGTATGTTTGATAATTTATTGGTTGTGGTATGAATGGTATGAACATGTTGAGACTGCATCGAGGGGAGCTGGACGGGAGGTGGCGAAGGATAATCAGTCGAGCGCGAGGCCGAGCTGCTGAAGGGCGGTCGTGAGGCGCTTCTGCTTCCGTCGCTTGCGCTCCATGTGGAGGAAGACGGCCACGGCGGCCAGCGCCAGACACAGCGCCGCCGCCATGTAAGCGCCGAACCCGGCCAGCGTCCACATCAACGGGTTGCGCATGGGCCTCTCCGTAAAATCTGCACACATTCCGCCACACTAAGTCACCACAATCACTGTCACTGGGCGGTTGCAATGCAACGTTGGCGTACCCCAGATGTCGATGGGGTCGGGGATGGGCGTGTGGAAGCAGTTGATGGGTGGCTTGATCTTGCTTTGGGCCTCGGTGTTTCGGATCTCGGCGCCGGGCCTCAGGCACCAATCCCGCAGCTCGGCCTGGAGCACCTGGCTCACGAATCGGGCGGGGCACGAGCTGTAGACCATGTCGCACCAGTCCTGGCATAACGGAATCCCCTTCTTGCTCTC